GTAGCCAGCTTGGTCCTCCTCAGAGCATGGTGGTCTCAAGATAGTTGGCTTCCTTACATGGCAACTGGATTTCTCTAGAGAGCAAAAGTGGAACTATGCTGCCATCTGTCATATTCTCTTGGTTAAAGCAGGTCACAGAGCTAGTGCCAATTCAAGTCAAGAGAAGTACACAAGAGTGGCAATCCTAGGGAGTTGTGGCTTATTGGAGCCTGCTGAAGTAGCCAAACAGTAGTTTGCCATATAGCAGCCCACAGGCCTGAAGTGTCCAGCTCAGCAAGTCCAAAAGCCTATACCAGATCATCAGGACCCAAAGTGATTACTAGCATACTCATGTTCTATCTCCCGTCCCTCCCTCCTTTGCTTTATGCCTGTGGGCTTTTCCTTTGTTCCCTCTAGACAGCATTATTTCTACCCTCATAGCAACTCCAGATTGTGTCACTTTGCTGAGCAGCATCCCATAGTATCTAAAGTCTCAGGCTGTGGAGCCTGGTGCTTGGACTCTACTAGGCAGCTGTGTGGTGTTGGGCAACTTTCCAAATCTCTCTGCATACCTGTTTTCTCCTCCTTGTGTAAAAGGAGAATGTCAGAAATATCTATTTCCTCAAAAAATGAGGACTGAGGGGCTGGGATTGTGGCTCAGTGGTAGAGCACTTGCCTCACACGCATGAGGCACTGGGTTGGATTCTCAGCACCACATATAAATGAATAAATAAAACAAAGGTCCATCAACAACTAAAAAATAAATAAATAAATGAAGACTGAAACCACCATGTAACTCAACTGTCCTACTCCTTAATATTATCCAAAAAAAAAAAAAAAAACCAGAATCAGCCTCCTGTAATGATAGAGCCACATTGTTTATAGCAGTACAAGTCACAATAGCCAAAGATATGGAATGAGCCCAGATGCGCAGTTCAATCCCTGGTTCCCCCCACCCCCAAAAAGAAATGTAGTATATATACACAATGGAGTTTTACTCATCCATAAAAAAGAATAAAATTATGGCATTTGCTGGTAAAGATGAAGCTGGAACACATCATGCTAAGTCAAATAAACTAGACTCAGAAACAAGGATTAGGGCTGGGGTTATGGCTCAGTGGTAGAGCGCTTGCCTAGCATGTGTGTGGCACTGGGTTCATTTCTTAGTACCACATATAAACAAATGTCTATCAACAACTAAAAAAATATTTTTTAAAATATTTATTTTTTAGTTTTAGGTGGACACATTTATTTTTATGTGGTGCTGAGAATAAAACTAAGTGCCTCACGCATGCTAAGTGATCGTGCTACCATTTAAGCCACATCCCAGCCCCCAAAAAATTTTAAAAAGAAAATCAAGGATCAAATGTTCTTGCTCATATGTGGAAACTAGAGCAAAGTAAGCTGGGAAAAGGGGGAGTCTGATATCATAGAGGGATGATCAGCGAAGTAGGAGATTAAGGGGGAGGGAGGAGGGATGGGAAAGGAAAGGGAAGGAATGCTAAATGAATTTGACAGATGTTTGCTATTGTGTTTGTATAAATATTATATCACAGTAAATTCCACCTTTATATATATCTGTAAAGCACTGTTTTAATCACCTCTTTTGCACTATGACCAAAACCTGTCAGCATTTTTAAAGGAAGAAGGGTGTATTTGGCTCACAGTTTCAGAGATCTCAGTCCATAGGTGGCCAACTCCATTGCTCTGGACCCAAGGTGAAGCAGAACATTGTGGCAGAAGAGAATGGAGGAGGAAAACAGCTCAAGACATGACATAGGAAACAGAGAGAGCTGCACTTACCAGGGTCAAAATATAAACCCCAAAGGCATGTTCCCAGTGACCCACCCACCTCCTCTAGCCAGTCCCTCCCTCCCTACAGTTACCACTTACTCAGTCCATATCAGTGGATTAAAGGACTGATTATTCCATACCTCATAATCTAATTATTTCACCACTGAAAATTCTCATATTGTCTCACATGTGAGCTTTGGGGAACACCACAGGTCACAACAAGGTCACTTTTGGTCACAGTGACACAAATGAGTGTAGGATAGACCCGTAGAATAGAAGAAGGAAAATGCGGAGGCAGGGGGAGGGTACCAGAGAGTGAAATGGGTAAATTAAATTCCATGCATTTACACATGTCTGAATGAACCCAACTGTTATGTACAACTATAATGTAGCAAAAAATAAGCAGGGGGGATATTTACTCCAGAAGATAGTTTAAGATTTAGAGAATACCTGAGCTCTGCTTCCCATAAAATTTGAGGGGCAAATGCTCAAAAGCGTGTCCTGGGCTGGGGAGGATTGATTCTGGCCTTGGAAATGTAGTGTTTCACAGGACATGCCCTAGCATGACTCTGGCTCTCCTAGGGGCTGGCATATCATAACTTTGCCATGAGACCTTCAGTAGAGGTGGTTGCATTGGTGGGGCCCAGTCTCTGCCTCTTGCTATCCTGACCACACTTGGTGAAGTGTTCTCTTCTGAATTTCACAAGACTTTTAGTGGTGCTGATTTTTCACTGCCTCCTGGTATCTAGCAGGACTCACAGCTTAGGTCTTAGTGCTGGGTGCACAGTTGTTCTCACCATTCTGCACAGCCATCAAGGGAGCAGAATCTACATGGCTCAGAGCTGAGCCTGTGTCCCCAAATGTCCTTTCTCATTTCTCAAGTCTTTCCCTAGGTGAACAAGAAAGTAATCACTTTCCTCCCAGCTCCTTAGCCTGTGGAAAGTGTGGGGCCCAGGAAGGTGTGGGCATGCCAGCTTTCTTGAGTTCTTTCTTGAGGGTTAAGATAGGACTAATTAGGATCTATCATGTCTGGCCTGTCAAGACTGATTTACAGTCTCTCTTGCCTCCCACCTGAGTACATCAACTATCAGACCTGCTCCTTGAAAGCTGGGTAGAACACAAGCTATGTGGAGGCTTGTCTCATGACCCCTTGGGATTAACACTTGGAGCAGACTAGGGCTGAGTCTCCTGTGTATTTGGGACAGCTCTGAGCATACTGCCTGTACTTCAGGAAGGTAGTGAACAGCTGCTTTGACTGAGCTTGACCAGTCTCTATAGAGCTCTCGCTCTTAGGTGTGGGCCTTGAAGTCACTGAGGGACTCAGGGACCAGGCTAGGGCCTACCAGCATGATAACAGGGCCCTGTTGTGGTAGCTTTTGTTGTTTTATCATTCAATACGTATTACAGATGATAGAACGTGTATGATTTCCACACTTTCCAAGGGTTTCTACTAGTTCCCTGAGACAACTAAGGTGTTTGTATTTGGCCTTGCATAGCTATTTCTCCTACTATCACATAAATGACTAGTAAAAAGAAATTTGTATTTCCTCTTGTCTAGTAGAAGCTCATGTTTGATTTGATTGCACAACTGTGGTCCTCTGGAAGATGAGGTGAGCGGGGTGTTGCCTGGAACCCATGCTAGGCATTGCCTTTGGTACCAGCATTGGATTTTCCACATTTGTGTGGGAGCTCTGGCAGACTTTACAGCTTTGGGAAGCCTCCACTTGCTCCCACCCCACTCTCACCTTGCTGTATGATTCTGAAGCTGGTAACTCTCATCCCAGTGTCCACACTGCTTCCTCTTAGGTGACAGACAACATCTTCAATTAAGTGATTCTTGATATTATGGTTTTGATATGAGGTGTTCCCCAAAAGCTTCTGTGTTCATTCAGGAATGTTTGGAGGTGAAATGATTAGATTATGAGAGCTGTGACCTAATCAGCTCATCCTATATTGAATAAACTAACTGGCTGGTAACTGTAGGCAAGTAGGATGTGGCTGGAGGAGGTAGTATGCCCTGAAAGCATTCATCTTCTCTCTGGCCCTTCACCCTCTCTCTCTACTTCCTGGCCGCAGCAATTTCCCTCTGCTGTCCCCTTCCACCAGTGTTCTGCCTCACCTCTGGCCCATAGCAATGGAGTCAGCCACCCATAGACTCAAACTTTGAAACCATGAGCCCCCAATTTTTCCTCCTTTAAATTGGTCTTGTCAGGTCATAACAAGGTCACTTTTGGTCACAGTGACAAAAAGCTAACTAATACCCTTTGCCTATGTCAGCAATTGCTTATGCTCAGTTTGTTGTCATGCATCTAATCTGTCACTGAATAAATATTACAGAGCTGATGTTCACCAGGCATTGTGCTAAAGGGTGAAGATAACTGTGGTGAACTCAGTAGCAACTGATATTGAAGCTCTTGGCCTGGAAGCAGATCAGGGAGTTGGTGAAAGACCCACCAGACACCAGGCCCCTGGATTACCTTACTCGGTCTACTTATAGCATTTTCACTAGTCTGGACCACCCTCTAGCCATGGGCTCCTTCACAGTGGGCCCTGTAGGGCTTCCAAGAACTAGCCACAGTCCTATCTCCTCAGCAACTGAGCATCTGATTTAACATTGAACATACACAATTTTGGAGGTTCCACCAGAGGAGATGCTGAGGAGCAGACTTGATGTGGACTTTGATGCCATGAAAACATACAAGAAGGCTTTCTAAAAGCAGAAGCCTGATGGGGCCTCTGTACTGTAGCCAGCTGCTGGTCCTGCTCAGCTTCAGATAGCCAATTAGAAAGGATGAAGAATGTCCTTTTTTCCAGGCTATCAGCCAAATGCAGACCCATAGACAAAGGTAGACAGGGAGATGCCAGCAGGTATAGCTTTATACTCCTTTTATTAAGTACCTGTGACTCAGAGCTTTTAATCCCATGTCCTCAAAAAGTGGCAGACAAATGCTCAGTCATTCTCAATGACAGAATACTTTGATGTAATGTTGGACCCTCAACTATCTAATGTTGCTCAGAGTCTTTCCACAGCTTAGACTTTAACTGAAACTAATAGATTACTATACTTTCTTGTGTGTAATTTACCTGTAGCCTGTTATTTTGTCTGAGGTACAGGAATTAAAGATAGTACATGACTAGTCAGTATTTTAAAATTCAGTGTCTGTTGCTGTTCTCCAGTGAATAAAATGCCAATTTAGATGTGTGTGCTTTTTCTTCTTTGTTTTTAGGCAAACCGATTTTTTCAGTTGATATTCACCCTGATGGGACCAAGTTCGCAACTGGAGGACAAGGTATGTTTATGGAGTGAGCCTGGGAGAGCATCACAGTTCTGTTGCCTTGCTCTGCTTCCCCTGGTTATCTTAGTTAAGATAGCAGTAAAGAGTTAATTTGTTATTTTTTCAATATAGATATGACTCAGTTTAAAATATGCAACTTTTTTTTTCCAGTACTGAATTCTACCACTGAGCTATATCCCCAGCTGTTTTTATTTTTTAATCTTGAGACAGGATCTCACTAAGTTGTGAAATATGGCCTTCAATTTGTGATTTTCCTGCCTTGGCCTCCTGAGTGGCTATAGAATTCCAGGCATGCACCACCACATGGCTAAAATATGTTTAAATAAGATAAAGGTATTATGTCCAACTACAACTAAAAAATAAATATTTAAAAATAAATAAATTTTGCATTCCATGCCAGGCTTATTGAGCATAGAGAGGCAGGTGGTACCCTGGGCATAAGCCCAGTTCCCAGAGGCAAGAGATCTATCAGGGGTTTTCTTTGACTAAAAAGGGGAAGGGATAGTTAAACTGCTAAGTAATAATAATCAGATAATAATTTAGCCCATCTTCTGGTTAAAGGAATTCAATTAGGTTAAAGTGAGAGTTCATTGTGGGCAAGTAAGAATGCCCATGGCATTTGAAGATATGATACATAGTATTGTCAGTGTGCTTCATTCAGTGTCTGTTGCAGTGTTGCAGTAACTTTGCTCTGTTTGGAAAATCACAGCCATTTTTTATCCCATTACAAGATGTATACATCGTGATAGGAAGTGGCAGGACCCAGTACCTTTATCCCCAGCAGGTTTGCCACAGAACAGGGCCTCTCTTTCCAGCGAGGCCTCCCTGGGCAGCCCCTAGAGTGCCTTTGTGTTTGCATTCTCAGGTGAGGTGCTGCAGGATGGGTTGGCAGTAGAACCTTCTCCTGGGAGCCAGGGAGCAAAAAGGGAATACAGGGAAGCTATGGGCAGGAAGGCCTTTCTCTGCTTCCTGGGTACTGGGAGAAGAGCCTGCAGCTTCACATAAGAGTGCTAGATTTAGGGAGAAATGGGTGGTTTCTTATCCGCAGGGGCAACATATCTTTCACCTAACTCAGAATAGCAAGGTCTTACTATTATTACTTATTACTTACTTATTGACCAAGAGGAAATTCAGGCATTTCATTGTCACTTTGGCATGTGTATTTAAAGTATTCTTTTTTTTTTCCCCTCTGTGTCAGCAGGTTAATGAGGAACTGTGCTTGTGTTAGTTATTAGTGATGGAAATCTTCAAAATTATTAGTAAAACGCATAGGTATATTTTTCAGCAGAGCAGTACATTAGCTTTTTACCATAGGAATCCTGAATTCCTTCTTTTGGTTTATCTCCCATCTGTAGGTGACTGCAAAGTATTTAGGGTACATTTCAAACTTGGGTTTAGAGTATCCAGTCAGCTCTGGAAGAACGTGGATTCCAGGCAGTACATTGAAGAAGGGAGGAAAATCCTGGTCAGACTGTGCTTTTCTCCTTGCTCTCTAGGATATACAGACCTAAAAGGGTCTGGCACATCAGCTTTCTATCCTCTCCAGTTTAGGGATAAGGAGTTGGGTCCAGGACAGGGATGAGAACCTTCTAGGAGCCCCTCCTGAATTAGGAGGCCAGACCAGAACTCGGTCTCCTTGGTTTCTAGCAAGAGTTCTTTTCATAAAGCCAGGTTGGTCTCAGCTAGTACTAAGCCCATTCTTTTTTGGATTCCCATGAGTACTTGTTTTTCTTCACCTTTTTGCATGAGTAATTCAAGTTCAAACCCCTTAGACCTAGTCAATTACAACTTATGGAAACTAAGTGAGGACTTCCCATAGTTAATATTATATATCCTTATCAAATTTTCACTCCTTGCACATTGAACTATTTTTGCTTCTTCATTTCAGGGCAGGATTCTGGGAAGGTTGTGATCTGGAATATGTCTCCAGTCCTCCAGGAGGATGACGAGAAGGATGAAAATATTCCCAAGATGCTTTGCCAGATGGACAATCACTTAGGTATTACAGAGTGGCCCTTTGCAGGCTTTGCGTGTTGGCAGAGTGCCCAAGGTTAGCACATGTGTTTGTAATTAGAAAGATAAGGCCCCGTGCGGCGGTAACTCCCCTCGGCCTGCTGTCTGAAGGCACAGATGTTGGCTGCACACCTGGGTGAGTTATTCAGCAGAAGACTCGGCCCGCCCACAGAACCATCTTTGGACAGTCTGCAGGTACCTCTGGTGATTTCCTGCTCATGAGTCGTTACTGCCTGATTCCATGGGGCTTTGGGGCCAGCAACCTGGACACAATAGGGTCCTTGGGAAGGGTGTATAAGAGACAACTTACCAAAATGTCTGAGGTTGATGCTATATCACTCCAAGGCTCTCTGCCAGGACTCTTTAGGCTGTTGGATAGTGCTTTGGTTTCCTTTCCTGCTGTAGTGCCATAATGTCTCACCCCTGAGATGCTCCATTAACAGTTAATGGCCTTTGGATGTCAGCCATTTGCTCTGTGTGTTCTTGTCCTCCCAGAATGCCTCTCAGTATCCTTGGACCTGGAGCACAAGTTACTCACAGGCCGTGTATTGGCTACAACTTTGTTAGTGCTTATTACATTTCATGTCTTCCAAAGGCTGAGCTGTGTCTGTTCCTGGAGGCTCTGAACTAGCAGAGGCATGGGGGATTTCTGCTGGTCTTAATTTATAAGTGTAGAATAGACAAATCTGCATTGCTGACAAATTTATAAAATCCAAATTTAAAAGGTCTGACTCTGACAAGTAGGATTAACTCAGAGTTTTATACTCTGCCAAACTGCTGCCCTAAAATTTCTGCAAAAGGCATCTTGACCTTTTTAATACAGATTTTTATTTTGAGAATAATTTCTGTTCAAAAATAACATCTCACCAATAGATAGCTCTTTTAAAATAATGAGATTTATCACTTTTTATAGAAATAAGCCTCCAGTTCTATTTCATTCAGCTAAGAATTCTCAGATTATGCATATTTTCCCCCTCCAGAATGTTCTCATAATTTGTTATAGAACAAGTAGGTTAGTGCTCTGACTGAATTGTTTCTCTGGGGCTCTCACACAGTAGATTCCTTAAATAGATTAGATAGATTAGATTTTATAAACCCTTCACATCTTGCCAAACTCTGCATAGAGCAAATGGGCGTGACTATTGGATTTTCATCACCCTATTTTTTTTTCTTCCCAGCATGTGTGAACTGTGTGCGGTGGTCAAACAGTGGGATGTATTTAGCTTCTGGGGGAGATGACAAACTGATTATGGTGTGGAAGCGGGCTACGTAAGCATCATTTTCCTTTCTTCACATTTAATTTTTAGAAGCTTCTTTGCTGGTCTTTATTAAGTCACTTTTCCCACCCTGGTGCTGAAGTCCCCAGAGCTCCTAACTTAATAAGTAGCAGGAAGTGCACATGGGTCAATAGCAGAAAATCTGGAGACCTCTGGCCTTGCTGCTGACTTGGACAGCCACTCCTTTGAAGGGCTGCAGGGCTTCCACCTGAGTAAGCCCTTCTGCTGCTGACATGATGGTTTCATTTGTTTTGTTCTTTAAATGAAATTTCACATAGAACCCCAACATATAAATTGCTAAAATCAAGGTGCTCGATGGGATCAAAATGGGTTTCCAGTGTCCACCTTCTTTGCCACTTGCTTCATTTTCTGTCAGCTTCACCCTGGGCGTGAAGCCCCAGCCCTGCACCTAAAATGAGCTAACAGGCAAATTATAATTTTATTTACCCCCAAGCATAAAGTGTGTCAGGATGGGTCCTGCAACTATGTCCCATGATAAATTCCCCTGGTGACTCTGGGTCAGTCAGGCTGCAGCACCAGACCTTATACCATTGTTCAGCCAGAGTGACCCCATGGCTGGGGCTTTGAGAGCAGAGGCATGCCACCTCCTTGGACCCACTGGGCTGCCTCACAGACTCTGAGTTGGTACAGAGCTTTATAGGAGCAAAAGGTGTTCACAGAGGCTCACGCTGCCTCCACTAGGCCTCAAGTAACTGCTTTTCTGAAAAGAGTTAGTACCTGACGCTTGTGGTTTCTCCACCTTTGGTGATAGGGCAGGGCTATTTGATTCATTAGTAGGGGCCTCAACATTCTGTTTATTTTGCTACTTTAAATAGTCAACATAAATAACATTTAGTACATAATTTGGAAAAGTAAAAAAGTGTGTAAAGGAAAAATGTATCTCATAATCCCATCATTTAAAAGGCCATGTTTGATATTTAGGAATTTTTCTATGTTGTCCTTCTACTCAGTTTGAAACTTTGCATTAGTGGTATCATTGTATATGATGTCCTGTGGCCTGCTTCTTTCACTTAATATGTTGTGAACATTTTCTTGTGCAAGACTTGCAATGGCTGTGTAGTATTTCATCAACTGCATGGATCACAAGTTACCTAATTAGCTGCTTTTGTTCAGTAACCTGGTGCTTTCCAATCTTTGTCTATTTTTACTTTGTTGTGTCTGCCATGATAAGCCGTGCTACAGGACACATCTGTACAGAGCTCAAAGAACTCCATGAGTGCCTGTCTGACTCTTCTTTTATACAGGTACATTGGGCCCAGTACTGTGTTCGGCTCCAGTGGTAAACTTGCCAATGTGGAGCAGTGGCGGTGTGTTTCCATTCTCCGGAGTCACTCAGGTGGTGAGTAGGGCTGCCCTCTGGGGTGGGTGGATCCCTCAGATCCTCAGCAGCACCTCTATGAACCCAGTGTGAACGTTTGGTTCTTAAAGCAGCCCAGTATCTGGGCTGTCCTTCCTATCTCCACCAGTCACGTCCTTGTCTCTCAAGATCTGTGCAGTCACTGACTCTCCTGCCAACCTCCAACTGTCTTTAGTCCCCTATTTCTCCCCTCATGAAATACATATTTATCTTTGATGTAAAACTTTCCACATCTTATTATTCATCCTGCTGAACTGAATCAGTACTTTCTTCACTGGATCATTAAATCTGTAAGCATACTTTATTTCCCAGAAACTAGCCCATAGGCACCCAAGGAAAATTTCTTAAGTATGTTTGCAAAATGTATGGAAAGAGGCATGTGTTATATTAAAACTAAAGAGGAAAAAGGTCAATCTGTAATAGTCTAAAAGCCCTTGCACTTTAGGACCAGGCCCCAGGGTACCAGATAAATACAATTTATACTTCTCTCAGGAAGCTTGTGGTCTAGCCCAGGAATGAACTGAAGCCCAAGCAGGAGGGCAGCAATAGTGAAAAAGGCTTAGTATAAATGGTGAGTTGGAAACATTTTACCCTGGTTGGATCTTTTATAGCACAAAGTTAGACTAGCCAAGTGTATAGGGCTCATGTACCCTGTTAGTGAGGGTGTTACTCATCATGAAAGAGAGAGGTTGTTCTGATAGCTCTTGGAAAGGAGAGTGTTTCAGTGGTTCATATGAAAACTGTAAGGCCTGTGATCTTTGGATAGAGAGGAGAAGAGATAGATTTGGAAACTACTTAGGACAAACCCAGTGAGAGATGATATAGATTTCTTTTTGTGTGTCTGCATAACCAACTGTATCCACTACGGAGACCATAAGAACAATAGGCTTATGGGAATGGGCACCAGTTTAGTGTGTGATGGACTAGGTTTGAGCAGGTAGAGGAGGAAATGTCAGTAAACTATTAACCTGGAACTCTACAGAAGACCAAGCAGGAATAAGAGAGTTGAGAGGCATTGGCTATATATTATTCATTAGCTGTATATCATATGTTCCGTAAATACTCCATAAACAATGTAAAGGTGAACATACCTGTCTCTTCCTAACCATGGATTAAGTTTACTTTGTAAAAGCTGAAGCAGTAGCCTTTTGTTATTGTTTAATAATTTAAAAAATGTATAATTTGCCCTTATTTATTTCACAGCAATTTTATAGCAACCTAGTTAGGCTTCTCTGGAATTTGGCACATGTATCTAAGAGGGTGTTCAAGCATTACTTGGGATCTCAAGTAAGAAATATTATGGGTCCCCTAATCTGAGATTCAGGTCCAGCCTTAACTTCAGCACCTCTTATTGCCCCCAAACCCTATGGATCTCCTTTAACAGGCAGGTAGGGTTGGTTACTTTCAATTGGGATACCTGCCACTCCTTATTCACTGGTCCTGCTAGCAGGTGTGGGCCAAACCATTTAAGAAGAAAAAAAAAATCAGTGAAATTAAGAGATAAACGAGTAAGAATGGACCAGGTCCTTGAAAAGCAAAGTGTGAGAAATACATCCTTGACATAGTAAATTAGTGAGTAGAGAGAAAAACCAGCAAAATTAGAAATAAAGGTCTAGAAAAATATTTAAGCTAGATGGAAAAACATGAACAGTATAATTTTATTCGATTAAACTAATAAGTTAAAACAAAATAAGCTTTCAAAATTTATAACCACAGAAAGGAAAAACCTAAACAGAGTAAGATCCAATGCAGTAGTTTAACTGTGTCTTCAAATATGATTTCTGGACCTAGATTACTTGTTGATGCATTGTTTCAAGCTTTTAAGAAAATATATACAGAACACAGAAAAGTTTATTCTTCAAAGATTTCTAAAACCTAATAAAAAGTAACAATGAAACAGAGGCACAGATTAACTTGAATGAAGGAATAAAAATCAGTAATGATACTACTAAGTGTTATAATATTTGAAAATAGAAATGCATTATAATTAACCATGATTCATAATGGAAGAAGTTTGTGAGTAAGGAAATTATTACTATAACTTAAACAATAACACAAGGAGATTGAAGGAGGTTGAATTAGAAAGGCCCCATAATTATTAAGAGGGTTATTCTTTTTAAAATAATATTATGTAATTCAACTGCCACGGCTGAATTATCAGTCCCTAATAAATATGTTTTTTTTAAATGCCCATGGAAAGCTATTTCCTTAACATAATCAAATTCTGTGTCTATTTATCTATTTATTCTTTTGTACTGGGATCAAACACAGGACTTTCCTCATGCTAAGCAAGTGCTCTATCACTGAGCTACATTCCCAACCCTGTTCATTTTATTTTGAGACAATGTCTTACAAAGTTGCTATCCTCAATCTTAGGATCCTCCTGCCTCAGTCTCCTGAGTAGCTGGAATTACAGACATGTACCACCACACCTGACTCTGTGTCTTTTAAAAACCAATGGCAAATAGTTCACAGGTTATCCTGATTCCCTTTTATGTCAAAAAAAGAGAAGAGTAGGTACTATCACTTGTTTTGCTTCTCTAGGATTTCTGCAGTACAATTAAGCAGAAATCAAGAGGGTAGACATACTGGGAAATAATATAAAAATGAGTCAGGCATGGTGGTGCATGCCAGTAATCCCAGCGACTCTAAAGGCTAAGACGGGGATCTCAAGTTCAAGATAATCTCAGCAATTTAGCCAAACTCTAAGGAACTCAGTGAGACTTTGTCTCAAAAAAATAAAAAAGGGATCTTTTACTACTAATACCCATTTAGAATATCTAATAATAAAAAGAAAACCCTTACATAATAGGATAAAAAATTATAAATGCCCAGGAATAATCTACCAAGAAATGCATGAGGGGTTGTAACTCAGTAGTAGAGCATGTGAGGCATGGGTTTGATCCTCAGCACTGCATAAAAATAAATAAAAATAAAGGTATTGTGTCCTTTTACAACTGAAAAAAAAAAAAAGAGAGAGAAGAAGAAGAAGAAAAGAATGTGTGAGATCTTTGAGACTTAAACCACAAACAGGTTTGCTGTCTCAACTTCCCAGGTAACTGGGACTGGGTGCATGTACTTCCACACCTGAGATCATACCACTACAAACCTTTTTTTCATATAAAATGACCACTTTATAAATAGACTAAATAAAATACATTTTTTCACATTTAATATTTGCTCATCCATTAATAAATATTTATTGTGTATGTGATGTGTTTCAGGCCCTTTCCTCAAGAGTTTTCATTCTTATAAAAGGATAGACATAATCTAGTCATATAGGAAATTTGAAGAGGAGCACTAGGGAGATAGCTCTTGGATGAGTACCGGGGAGCTCAATAAGAAGTAGGTGCCATTATAAGCATTATTCTCAAAGTTAGGCCTCAATGAGAAGGTGACATCTGAGGGGAGACCAGAAAAAGGTGAGGGGACAATCAGGCAGAGGGAACAGGAGCACAGGTATGTGCTTGATTTGTTTGGAAAGCCACTGAGATGACTGAGGGCTCCTCTGATGAAGATGGGAAGGCTTAGGAGGGTTTAGGTTAGGGAAGTTGAGACGTTTGGCAAGTATATGAGTCTATATCATGAGAAGCTAAGCACAGTACAAGGAGATCAGTGAGGAGGCTATTACCATAATGTAGGTCTATATCTCAGACTTCCGTCATTACTGGGGAGTGGTGAGAAGTGGTCAGAGGTAGATTTCCTAGTGGATCAGACACAGTATTAGAGCAGAAGAATAAAGACAGGTTCATACACTGGCCTGAATAAGGAAAAAAATAAATGTAGTTCTCATACTCTGAGATGAAGCAGTCTCTTTGTTTAGGGGAAATGCTTTTGGATTTTGGTTTTAGACATATTAAACTTGCCAGTGTGAGAGACATGCTGTGTATGCATTTGGAAATAGGAGATTTTGAAGACAGGAGAAGGTTCTGGGTGGAAACAGTTCAAAGATGGAGCCAGGGTTTGTAGAGATAAAACAAGCAAGGGAATCTAAGAAAGAGGCCAGTAAAAATAGTGTTGAGTGTTTGAAAGAGAAAGGAGAGAGTAATGTGTTCACTGAGGTGAAGTGAACACACTCTGAACCTAGACCTGAACCTGAACCTGATAGCATAGACACCACAGGCGGCCTTAACAAGTGTGATTGATTGATGACATTCATGGTGTTGGGTCAAAACTTGTTGGAGGGTGTTCAAGAAAGACTGGGGAAAGTTAAGTCTGCATTGTACCAGGCTGGGTTTTGTCAGGCACCTATGAAGACATAAAAGGAAAAGAGGAATGATAGTGAGATCTCAGAAGAGGAGAAAGGTGAGTATGTATACAGGGGTGGCAGAGAGTGGAAGGATGTAGCCTCAGTGGATCTTAGCATGGTTGTTATTTGAGTGTGGGAGAGTTGGAATTGCAGTGATCTGTCTTCTGGGCATGACCATAGAAATGAATGTAGAAGCCAAGGTTGTTGAAAGAGAACAAGAAGTTTAAGGAACCCAAAGCCTTGAGTTTAGCCTTAGAAGAATCATCATCTTGGAACAAAAAAAAAAACATATTTGTTAGGGAACAAATATGATGAGAATAGTGACCGAAAATTTAAATTGAATAAAGGGTCTTGGATTTTTGTCAGTCCACAGAAGGAAAGGGGTTGGTATACCATTTGGAGACAGAAGCTCCAAACCTGGAATTCAGAGAGAAAATTTTGCCATGTATGTGGATTTACTGCAGAACTGGACAGTGACTTCGAAGAGCCACTGGATAGATAAGTAATGTTTCCGATGAAAACTTTCAAAGTTTTAGTGATAGAAACATTATGGGTTTTGGATAAAACTAATAACTGGAGGAGGCTACAATATATCTAAGGAATTGTAGTATTGCCACCAAGGCATCACTTATCAAAAAGGGAACTGGGCGCAGTGGCACATACCTGTAATCCCAGTGGCTCAGGAGGTTGAGACAGGAGGATTGCTAGTTCAAAGGCAGCCTCAGCAATGGCGAGGCGCTAAGCACCTAGACCCTGTCTCTTATAAATAAGGCTGAGGATGTGGCTCAGTGGTTGAGTGCCCTGAGTTCAATCCCCATTACCAAAAAAAAGGCCGGGGGGTATAAATTTTCCCTCATGTAACATACTAACCATTAAGCAGTTGGTAATAGAGGAGAAATTCATTTAGAACCTTACTAAATTTCACATACACCAAAAATAAATCTGAGATTTTAAAGAGATAAATACTGTAAATAATTAAACCAGGTGAAAGTAGAATTGAATATTAATCAGAACTCTAGCAGAGGGAACATTTTTCAAGGTTAATAGGAAATAGAAGAAATCACAAAGGAGAATAACAGACTTTACTATGTAAAATTGTGATAATATGGGAAGGTGAATAGGTGAAGTTTGTAGCTAATGTATGTTTTATATGTAATCATATATCCTTTCTGGGTTCTCATCCGACTACATCTCGCTCTTATACTTGTGTACTACAGTGAAATATTGGTGTTTATATGCTTGCATCTGCAGGACTCTTAAAGTCCTAGAGAAAATTCTTGTTCATTTTTGTAAACACTACATTTATATTTGTTACACCCAATGCACAGAAAGATTTTCCATTAGTCACAAGACGTGATCAAATTAGGTCAAAAAGACTTTTTATATAGTAGACAGACATGAAGAAGCCTCACTTTCATTAATAATCAAATTAAAACTAAAGTTTAAAAGGCACTTAATAAATTAGAAGGAAAAATCATAATCCTATTCTTAACAGGGAATTTTGAAGCAGACATTGTACATAGAAATATAAAGGCACAGAGGTCTTTGAAAAGCATTCTGCAGTATTATGAGAATCCAGGCCTGAAGATTTCAGATATCCTTTCCAGGATTCCCACTTTGGAATATCAATCTCAGAGAAATAATCTAGAGTATGGAGAGTGGCACATGTACATGGTAGCATGAAAAACTGGAACCAATTATTCTTCAGTGATAACTTAGGTCTGTTTATAGTAATGAATGTTCTCAACGGTATAGGATGTAGAGTAAAATCAAAGAAGTTGTGAAGTCCTCTTAGGTGATTAGAATATGAAATGCAGCATATCAGTGCATGCATACACATTGTGATCCACAGAACACAATAGAATGTGAAAAAATTGCATTAAGCTGCTATTAAAGATTTTTTTAAGGTCTGATACAAATTTTGAATATTTAGCTTATACCTCTTTTTGAAAAAATTCTTGGGAAAGAACCAAATAACTATTGACTTCCTGAGGCACCAATGTTAGAAAAGGAAATAAGATTCCAAGCCTTCACATTTAGATAGCAAGATGGGTGTGGTTGTCATCACCATCATGCCTGACCTTTATTGATGCCATGATGTGTGCCAGGTGCTCTACTATGGCATTGTCATGTTTAATCCTCAAAATAATCCTATGAGAGTAGGTTTGTTGTTTGCTTAATCCACACGTTACAGGTGAAAAAACTGAGTCACAAAGAAATGAGCATTAATGTGATGCTTGATTTTTTTCTGGGAACTCCATAAGAAAGACATGCTCCTGGCACCAGAGGTGAGATCCAAGTCATGAGAATAGCAGGGCCTAAAGATAACTTCATTCAGATAGTCAGCAGCTCTTGATCTCACTATGTGCTGGGAAGTCTGCTAAGTGCTTTCCCTACCATGTCTTGTTTTGAACTCAGAATGCTCTCTGAGGAAGGTCCAGTTATAAGTAAAGATACAAATTAGTTGAGGAGGAGGCTCCAAAGGCCACAGACCCAGGAAGTGTCAGGTTGTGGTTCTAATATATGATTGTGATACCACATGGCACCCAAGCTCTCAGCTATGCCTTGTTGCTTTGTCTGTAAAAGGAGTGGGCATTTTGGTCAATTAGGTGCTTTAAACTTTATAACCAATTAAACATCCTTAGTGGGGAATTTTTTCATGTTGGTTTTTTAAAAAATTTCTAGTTCTGATGGTCCTAGGTCATATGTCCTCAGACATGAAAATCCCAGGAACAATCAGCCCAGCCTGCAGAAAAGGCTGCTGCTCAGTGCCTACCCTTACCCAAGTGCATTCCAGGTAAGAGATCTCACCACAAGCCCCCTTTCTTCTTCTAGATGTAATGGATGTAGCATGGTCTCCCCATGATGCCTGGCTAGCCTCATGCAGCGTGGATAACACTGTCGTCATCTGGAATGCCGTGAAATTTCCAGGTCTGGGATTTTCCCTGCTGGTTGATGGCAGAAATGGGCTGCTCCCAGAAGTCCTGCCTGTTGGTGACTAGAGTGGGGTTGGGGAGTGGGCTCTGTCTCCTTAATCTCGGTGTGTCTCCTTAATCTCGGTGGCAGCAAGTGTATCATAGTAGCCTGGGATTTGTGTCTCTTCAGTAAACCAGGTCTTTTTTTTCTTTATCACTTACGTTTGTTTAATATTTAAAAAGAAATTTATGCTAAAGAAAAGGAGTAACTGAGTGCTGGCATTAATGTTGAGGACCCTCAACTCCCACACATGCTTTGTGCCCCTCTTCTAGGCTATGGCCTCAGCTTAATTGCTGTCTCCTTTGAAGCCCTTGAGCAGATGCTGGCTAACACAAAACTTATTGTGCAAAAAATGAACTTTTCCTATTCATGGTGCTTAAAGTCATAAGAGATGGCATAACCTGGCCTAGTGTTAAAGTTTATAATTAATAAAATATTTATATTCCCACTTGGTATCTGGAATATGTTTTACTCATGGGCCAAAATCTATCATCCATGGACATGGATCCAAGTCATTTCAGTTTTCTTTAAAATTCACCACTGACATGTGTGGCGACATAAAGTCTGATCACAGAGGGGGTTTTAGAGACTGGTACAGCATTTGGATTACAGATCTGTAGGAGGTACTATTGTGCAATTCTTTGTCTTACTTAATGATTTACAAAAGAGTCACTTAGCCCAGGGCCCAAACCCCTAAAATGCTCAGCCTCTGTCTATTAGGGTTACTTATTAGGGCTGCTCACATCAGAAATACTCAAGTCATAGCCCAACTTGGCATAGACTTTTGTCCATGAATGGCAGCCCTGGGCTATACTGCTGGCTGCAGACAAGATGTGGGAGCAGAATTGGCAGCTCTGGCCCAGGCCTAGCTCTCTTATTGCCTATCATTCTGGGGACATGTGTGACCCCACTGAGAGTATTAGCTGTGGCTGAATGGAATCCATGGTATCTGCCTCCTTGATGCAGTAATCTCTTTATTTGCTTTGGTGGAGATCAACCTAGGTGGCTCTTCTGCTTGTGCCCAGGTGGGCTTAAGTCCCTTCTCTTGGATTTCTATTACGTGACCCACTATGGCTCATGTATTTTATATATAGAGTTACTGTTTTTCATTGAGGTAATGCGTGTATAAATTTCTTCTGTTTTTTTTTTTTCTTCACAGAAATTCTTGCTACTCTTAGAGGTCATTCTGGCTTGGTGAAAGGATTAACATGGGACCCCGTTGGTAAATACATTGCCTCTCAAGCTGATGACCGCAGTCTGAAGGTGTGGAGGACCCTGGACTGGCAGTTAGAGACCAGCATCACCAAACCTTTTGATGAGGTAACTGAGGAGGCCCAGGGTTTGGCCCCAGTTCCTGTCTGACCAATGAGAGAGGAACCTGACCATGATCCAGACCATGTAGGTGAATGCACAGAGTATGGGGCCTTAGCAGGCCAGTCAGCTTTCTGTAGGGTAGGCCCTGAGAGTTGTATGATAAAAATCTTTCCTTTATGGGAAGGCATTAAATGTCTAGCTTTGAATTGAAAATAATTTATAAATTTTAAAGCTGAAGAGAACCTTAGATCTATTCCTGCAGCACTGTATCACCCAACTCATGCCATTGTGGGAAGTTTACATTGAGCCACCCTACTGAGTGGCTTGTTGATGAGGAGAACATGGAAGAGACTGTTTTGAATGGTTCCTGGCCGTGTTTGTGACTTGTGCTCATTGACATCTGTTCTGTAGGCCAGTCAAATTTTTTTGTGTGCAGATTTAGCAGTTTAGTTTGCAAAACAACTAGAGAACAGACTGCAGTGGCTTCTGTGGTATTTTACTCTCTCTTCCTTGAGTTCTGATTTCATATAGAATCAGCTCAAAATCACTATTATTCTTTAGTTATTTATGTAGTGGCTTCTGTATTTAAAGCAATACTGGGTGTGGGGAAATAAAAGTAGATTGAGATGGAATCTCTCCCATGGACATTTACAGCTCTTCTGCATAGCACCTGTTTTTGTTTTTTTGTGTGTTGTTGTTTTTTTTAGTTATATATGACAGTAGAATGTATTTTGACATATCATACATACATGGAGTATTACTTCCCATTTTTGTTGTTTTTATATGATGTGGAGTTACACTGGTGGTATATTCATATATGAACATAGGAAAGTTATGTCTAATTAATTCTACTGTCTTTCCCATTCCTGTCCTCCTTCCCTTCCCCCGCACTCCTCCCTGTTCAATCCAGTGAACTGCCCCCACCTTGTGAGTCACTATCAGAGAGAACATTTGTCCTTTGTTTTTTTGGGAGTGGCTTTTTTTACTTAGCATGATAGTCTCTGGTTCCATCCATTTACTGGCAAATGCCATAATTTCATTCTCCTTTATGTCTGAGTTATATTCCATTGTGTATATTTACCAAATTTTCTTTACCCATTCCTCTGTTGAAGGGCACCTAGGTTGGTTCATAGCTTAGCTATTGTGAATTGAACTGCTACAAACATTGATGTGGACATGTCACTCTAGTATGCTGATTTTTAAGTCCTTTGGATATATGCTGAGGAGGGGGGTAAGTGGGTCAAATGGTGGTTCCATTCCAAGTTTTCTGAAGAATCTCCATACTGCTTTCCAGAGTAGTTGTGCTAATTTGCAGTCCCACCAGCAATGTATAGTGTACTTTTTTCAAACCCTGACATCCTCACCAACATTTATTGTTACTTATATTCTTGATAATTGCCATTCTAACTGGAGTGACATAAAATCTTAGCATAGTTTTAATTTGCATTTCTCTTAATTGCTAGTGATGTTGAACATTTGCACAGCATCTGTTAACCCTAGCACATTATCTACAGAGTGTGCTCTAGAGAGCATGTCACAGAGAAGGTGCCCTGCTGATACCTGTGAGCACATGTCTTCACATGAAGACAGACATTTCTGTGTGTTAATTCCATTTCCTACAGCTTCTTAGTTCAGGTGATGTGGTTCTTACACCTTTAGTATCTCAGGGTTCTGCTGCCAGGCTCCTGGGGCAGCTGCAGGAGAGTCTTTTTTTTTTTTTTTTTTTTTGGTACCAGAAATTGAACCCAGGGGTTCTTAACCATGTAGCCACAGCCACTAGCCCTTTTAATTTTTGAGACATGGGTTTCACTAAGTTTCTTAGAACCTCACTAAGTTGCTGAGGCTGCCTTTGAATTCATGAACCTCCTTCCTCAGCCTCCAGACCTGCTGGGATTACAGGCATACCACCACTGCATCAAGCTACAGGATAGTTTTGAGTACTAGGAGGAACTAGTAGTACTCTTCAACCTCTACTGGGGGTCATCCTACACAGGATTCTGAGGCAGGTGATTTCATTGCACTTAGGCCCTGCTTTATTTTACCCTTCTATGTGCCATGAGGTCAAGATGTTAGCCCCTAAATCTTTAGGGGTAGCCCATGCTGACCTTGAGGTTGGCTTTGGACTCACATCTCACTTTGCAGGATGAATAAAGTGAAGGGGTATGTTGCCTTAACCATCATGCCAAGTCAGGGGAGCAGTATCTTTGCTTCTGTGCCTTTTACAGTTCAAGAGGACTTTACAGACCTGTTCTTTGCAGATATCCTCACCATTCCCTGGGTGAGGAGTCAGGCTCAAGGAAGCAGGTGGTATCTCATGGTCATCTGTTCCACTCTAGACTCCTCCTGAACTCCCAGATATCAGCAAGGAGTTTCTTTCTTACCCACCCCCCACATTTTTTATTGTTGCATTATAGTTGTACATTTTGATGGAATTTGTTGTTACATATTTGTGCATGCACACAGTATAGCAATATAATTTGGCCAGTATCACTCCCCAGCACTTCCCCTCTCCCACCACTTGATCGCTTTCCACTACTGATCTCCCTTTGATTTTTAGATTCATCCCCACCTTGTTTTCCTTTTTCCTTACTGGCTTCCACATATGAAAGAAAACATGCGACCTTTGACTTTCTGAGTTTGACTTATTTCACTTAACGTGATGATCTCCAGTTCCATCCTTTTTCCTGAAAATGACACAATTTCATTTTCTTTATGGCTGAATAAAACTCCGTTATGTATATATACCATATTTTCTTTTTCATCCATTGAGGGACACCTAGACTGGTTCCATAGTTTGGCTATTGTGAATGTGCTGCTATAAACGTGGGTATGCATATATTACTATAGTATGATGACTTCAGTTCCTTAGGATAAATACTGAAGTGTGGTATAACTGCATCATATGGTGGTTCCATGCCTGGCCTTTTGAGAAACCTTCATACTGATGTACATAGCAGTTGTACTAATTTATAGTCCCACCAACAGTGCAAAAAGTGTTTTCTTGTTTATATTCTTGATGACTGCCATTCTAACTGGTGTGAGATGAAATCTCAGTTTAGTTTTTATTTGCATTTCCCTAAATGCTAAATGCTAAAAATATGGCCATTTTCATATATATGGCCATTATATTTCTTTCTTTTTTTTTTGTTACCTGGATTGAACTCAGGTGCACTCAATCACTGAGCCACATCCCCAGCCCTATTTTGCATTTGATTTAGAGACAGGGTCTCACTTAAGTTACTAAGCACCTTGCCATTGCTGAGGCTGGCTTTGAACTCTTGATCCTCCTGACTCAGCCTCCTGAGCTGCTGGGATTATAGGCATGTGCCACTGTACCTGGCTATATTTCTTCTTTTGAGAAGTATCTATTTAATTCATTGTCCATTTATTAATTGGTTTATTTGGGGTTTTTGAGTTTTTGTATATTCTAGATATTAATCTTCTGTCAAGAGAGTAACTAACAAAGATTTTCTCCCACTTTTCTTTCTTCAGAGTCCTAATTGTTTCCTTTACCGTGCAGAAGCTTTTTAATTGGATGTCATCTCATTTATTCACTCTTGGCATTATTTCCTGAGCTTTAGGGGTTCTGTTGAAAAAAGTTGTTGCCTGTGCCTATATGTTAGAGTACTGACCCTATACTTTCTTCTAGGAGTTACATAGTTTTTGGTCTAATTACAAGATCTTTGTCCATTTTTAATAGAATTTTTTTGCAGGATGAGAGATAAGGATGTAGTTTCATTCTCCTACATATGGATAACCTATTATCTCAGTACTATTTGTTAAAAAGACTCTCCAGAGTATGTTTTTGGCACCTTTGTCAAGGTTCATATGTCTGTAGATGTTTGGGTTTGTCTCTGTGTTTTCTGTTCCGTACCATTGGTCTGTGTCTCTTTTATGCCAGTACCATGTAGTTTTTGTTACTATAACTCTGTAATATAGTTTGAAGTCAGTTATTGTGATGTCTCCAGCATTGCTTTCTTGGCTTAGAATTGCTTTGGCTATTCTGTGTCTTTTATGCTTCCAGATGAATTTTCTGACTATTTTTTCTAGTTCTGTGAAGAGTGTCATTGGTATTTTGAGGGGATTGCATTGAATCAGTATATTGCTTTGGTGGCATGGCCGTTTTAACAAAATTGATTCTGCCCACCCATGAACATGGGAGGTCTTTTTGTGTCCATCTTTTATGTCTTCTTCAATTTCTTTTTCAATGTTCTATAGTTTTCATTGTAGAGGTTTTTCATCTTCTTGGTTAGATTTATTCCTAGGTTTTGTTTTGGGGTGTTTGTTGTGTTGTATTGTGTTTTGTTTTGAGACTATGGTAAATGGCATTGTTTTCCTGACTTCTTTCTCAGCAGATTCATTGTTGGTGTATATGAAAGCTATTGATTTTGGTATGTTGATTTTGTAGGCTATTACTTCGCCAGATTTGTTTATTAGCTCTAACAATATTTTCATGGAGTTTTTTGGATCTTACAGATACAGGATCATATCATCTGCAAGCAGTGATAATTTAACTTCTTCCTTTCCTATTTTTATCCCTTTATTTCTTTTCCTGCCTAACTGATCTGGCTAAAATTTGAAGCACTGTCTTAAATTGGAGTGGTGAAAGTGGACATCTTTCTCTGTTCCAGATTTTAAAGGAAACACTTTCAGTTTTTCCCCATTTACTATGAGATTAGCTTTGGGTTTTTCATATATATTCTTTTTGATCTTGAGGTAGGTTCCTTCTATTCCCTAGTTTCTTCAGTGTTTTTATCATGAATGGGTGCTGAATTTTGTTGAAGGCCTTCTGTGGCAGCATTTCTTGAGGATGCTTCATAGAAACTGTGTGCTGGGATTAACAGTGCTGTGCAGAAGCAGTAGGTGAATGTGGAGTTGGGCATTTCAAAGGACTGACCTTCCTGCTGATTCTCACAAGCATATACCCACTGTGCTGTTGTTCTGTGTTCAGTCCTATGGGAGTGTAGAAGATATCACAGTTCCCATGCTCATGTGACAGAGATCCCTTTTTGTTGTGTCATCTGGTTGACAACTCTCAGTGTAGTCAGAAGTTTGGGGTTCATGCTCTATCATCATATCTTAGTAAATCACAGTTTGACTTTGTCTTTGAGGCCCAAGTTTTGGTCACAAAGTTGACTTTAAGCTCCTTTCAACAAAGTTATTTCTTTCAGTGTGGAGGAACGACCCATGTACTGCGGCTCAGCTGGTCACCTGATGGGCATTACCTTGTGTCTGCCCATGCAATGAACAATTCTGGCCCCACTGCCCAGATCATCGAGCGGGAGGGCTGGAAGACCAACATGGACTTTGTGGGACACCGGAAAGCTGTAACTGTTGTGGTGAGTGTGCCTGGCCTTATGAAGTCCCGGCAGCTGTCAGTACCTTCTTGAGTGTCCTACTACAGTGGTTTACATGTGTCCTCAGAGCCTGAGGGGTAGAAAGCTGTTCAGGGAGGCTCCTAAAGACTGGGCCACACAAGGGACTGAGGTGATGGGACTCAGAGTCAGCATATGTTGGTGTTTACTTCATTTTAAATTCTTTACACTTAAATATTTTAAAACAACTTTTACAAAATATAATACCTATGAATTTTTTTTTGTTGGTTGTTTGTGCAAATTGTAATATAGCAAATATCACCAGATCAGTCTTTGGTTAGAACAATGTAATTCCACACCAACGTTTTCCATATTCAGGTCTGCTCTCAGGTGCTCCAGCATGGTGCCCCCTTGTGTAACTCCATTGAACATAGAATGATTCTGGGTACCCCCAAAACAGTGCTCTTATCTCCATTTCCTTCAGCAGTAGTTATAGGTGCAAGCTTATGGTGGTGGTCACTGGTTTGCACATCTGGTCTTGATGTGGAGGGTGAAGGTCTCCAGATAACTACTGCTAATCTTTTAGGCATGAGAGACCATTAATCCCTATGGATCACTTTAATTGAAGAGTGTCTTAAGATTAACCAAGGCCAGCTGTTAAGTAGCTGCAAATAACTTTTGAGAATTTGCAATCAAACAAGATAAATAGATTGATGGGTTTGGGCTGATGACAGAGTAACATCATTTAGGACCGTGATCAAAATGGGCTCATCATTACTTGTTTAAATTAAAAGTAGATATCATATATTGTACTTCAAAAAATAAATTTTATAGTAGTTAAATATTGCTTCCTCAAAATTTTTATCTTGTAGTCTATGTTGGATTTTATTTGAAACTAAGGGCCTTGTTCCTAAAATGTGCTTGTGAGTCTCATGGTCACTTTAAGAGCAGCTCTGTGAGAAAATAATATATGCCTCATAGGAAGCTCACAGAGCTTCACAAAGCTTTATAAAGCCCACTCATTAGTAGCAGAAACTCAATGAGTAGCTTTACAGCCTACCCAGTAGTAGTGGAAACTCAAGTCCAGGATTCTGTTTTTTCCAATTTCTGTGTAACCCTGGTCATTCCTGCCTGTCCCCTGGAGTGAAAACCCCTCTAGGTTATCTGACCCTGCTCTTAGAAGCCCTCACTTGGAATTCCAGGAACTCCTGCCCACCTCTTAATCCAGAACAGTCTTAGGGTGCTTGCAGCCTTTCCAAAAGGCAACCAGCTTACCCTGAGAGGTTTTTTTGTTTTTGTTTTTTGTTTGTTTGTTTTTACTTATTTATTTGGGTTTTTTTTTGGGGGGGGGGTTCAGTTCTTGGGAAGCTCAGTGAGGTGAAAAAACATGCAGTTAGTACTATAGTTAGCATAGTATGTTCAGTTCTCAGCACTGCATATAAATAAATAAGTACTTGAATCAAATGTATGAAATATGATATGTCAAGAACTATGTAATGTTTTGAACAACTAAAAATAAAAAAAAAATAAATAAAGGTCCACAGTTTTGCCTTTCCCAGAGTGTCATATTGTTGGTTTATACAGCATGTAGCTTTTTTCAGATTGGCTTTTTTGGGGGATGGAGGGATATCAGGGATTGAACTTGGGCACTAAAACACTGAGCCACATCCCCAGCCCTATTTTGATGATTTTTATTCAGAGTCAGGGTCTCATTGAGTTGCTTAGTGCCTCACTTTTGCTGGGGCTGACTTTGAACTCAAGATCCTCCTGTCTCAGACTCCCAAACTGCTAGGATTACAGGCATGTGCCACTGTGCCTGACCCCTGGGAGATCTTATGAGCCTCTTTGGCTGAACACATTTCTTTTTTTAAAAAATATTTATTTTTATTTATTTTTTTAGTTGTACTTGGAATCAATATCTGTGTTTATTTATTTTTATGTGGTGCTGAGGATCAAACTCAGGGCCTTGCACGTGCTAGGCGAGAGCTCTACCGCTGAGCTACAACCCCAGCCCTGGCTGAACACATTTCTGCTAGATAAGTATGACTGTGGACAACAAAGATATTGAGATGAAAGGGAATTACATGGATCAGTTCTCTCCTGCCAGTCCCTTTGGCCTCCCATAGGAGATGGAGAGTAAGCAAGTCCTGGTCCCTGAAGCCCCTTGCAGGCTTAGCTTCTCCCCCAGGTCCTAGGAAACTGACAAGCCAGGAGGAATTGATAGGACCAGTTCTAGTAGCTCCCATCTCTTTGACTTGGCTTCTGACTCCAAAAATCGAGCATTTAGGAATACTAGCTTCAAGCCTCATTCCACCATTTACTCATTTAGTTACTCTGCATGCTTTCTGACATCACTAAGTCTCCAGTGCACCATCAGCAAAATACCTCCTAGGTAGTTATAAAAATTATCTAATGTATGCTCAGTACTGGGCCTAGAGGCTCTGTGAGGAACTCCTATCAGTGGCTTGGGATTTCAGTGTGTTTCTCATGCTTAGGCATGAGGTTTATACTTGATGCTTGATTACCATTTTAACATGTGTTACTTGGTTTTAGAAATTCAACCCAAAAATCTTCAAAAAGAAGCAGAAGAATGGGAGTTCTGCAAAGCCCAGCTGCCCTTACTGCTGCTGTGCTGTTGGCAGCAAGGATCGCTCACTCTCTGTCTGGGTGAGCCACCACACTGAGCTTTTGCTGTAGGGTGGGAGGTGTGGACTGGGAAAGTGGCAAGCTTGGAAGCCTTGAAGGGAGGAGAGACCCACTGCTATTGATGATGTTCAGTATGTACTTCACTGTGTACCTGGGATCAGCCCCTCCTCCTAGGAACCTGCAGGCTTTCCTACTGCATAGAAGGAAGTACTGACACAGTTAGAAAAGGCTGCTGAATCCCCAGCTAGAGCAGATCTTGTGTCTAGACTGGGGGGCAGCACCCAGAGCAGTTAGTACTATAGTTGGCGTAGTGTATTTGCTTGCTTTGTATTGACATATAGTATATGTGAAGCATATTCAGTTTTGTAGATACAGTTTAGTGAACTGTCGTACATGTTTACACCAGTATCACTACCACCTTGGTGCGGGTAGAGGGAGGGTGGGATCTTGACCAATTAAGAAGCCATCCTCCCTCCACCCCCACCAAGATAATCATCCTTAGCAGCCTCTTTTCATTTTGATGAGTTTTACCTGCTCTTGAACGTCATATAAATACAGTTGTGCAGTGTTTACTTTTTTGTGTCTTGTGTTTCTTTCCCTTGGCATAATGTTTTTGAGATTCATGTGTGTTGTGTATGTCTGACAATAGTTTATTCCTGTTATTGCTTATGTAATCTTCCACTGTATGAACATATCACAATTTGTTTAATGCATTTTCCTTTTGATGGATATTAAGATTGTCCCAGTTGTGAGATGTTATGACCAAAAGCTGAAAAGAATATTCTTGAATAAGTCTTTTTGAATACATACTTAGGAGGAAAATGACTACAATTTAACAAAAAGAGCAGGGCTGCTGTTGTAGCTCAGTAAAATCCTGTGTTCAATTCCCAGGACCCAAAACAAGAGAGAGAGTACCAAGTATTGGCAAGGATATGGTTAGCTGGAAGTAATACATTACTGGTGAGGAAAGTGTTTGGCAATTTCTGTTAAAGCTAATCATATGACTCCTTACTAGACAGCAACCCCAAAGAGGAGGTGCTGTGCCCTTTCTGCTCCTAACTTACTGCCCTGCACCAAGCAGATTCTCAGCAAATATTCAGTGAAGGGTTGAGACATGAGAATTGAAGAATAAAACTGTGATAGTTTTCAAGTTAGAGCTCTGAAAGGCTATTAAGTTCCTTAGCTCAAAGGCTGATGATTTTGGGGGTGTCAGGGAGTGTACCGGGCACTCGACCGCTGAGCCACATCCCAGCCCTATTTTGTTTTTTATTTAGAGACAGGGTCTCACTGAGTTGTTTAGTGCCTTGCTTTTGCTGAAGCTGGCTTTGAACTCACAATTCTCCTGCCTCTGCCTCCTGAGCCACTGGGATTATAGCTATATGCCACTGTGCTGAGCTAAGACTGATGTTTTATGACATGAGACATTTTCACTTGCAGTGCAGAAGACATGGCCGTGTCACTGAGCCCTGAGGTCCCTCCTTGAACCCTCTTGGGTTTAAAATCTAATAAAGCCAGGTGGGCTGGGGTTGTGGCTCAGCAGTAAAAGTGCTCGCCTAGCAGGTACAAGGCCCTGGGTTTGACCCTCAGTACCACATATAAATAAATAAAATAAAGGTATTATGTCTAACTACAACTAAAAAATAAATATTTTTTAAAAATCTGATAAAGCCAGATGTACATACAATAATTTTTTTAAAAAAACTTCTCCATAAGCAGAATGGAATTGAAGTTATGGGTTTGAAGGTTATCTTCTGGCTAGATTTATTATAAAAAAATCTATTGAACCTAGGGGTGCTTTGCTACTAAACTATATCCCTAGTGCTTTTTAGTTTTTATTTTGCGGCACTGAATTGCTGAGGCTAACCTCAAACTTGATTGTCCTGCTGCCTGAGTCACTGGGATGACACCTGTGCCACCATACCTGACTTTATTTTTCCTCAGAGACCTTGTATTCTGTATTCGTTTAACACCCACCCTAGAACCTGAACCCTAGTGTCACAGGGACCAGTTCAAGATGTGTTTTTCCTGGTTTATCCCATCCCATGGACCATTCATGGTACTGCTCATGTTTCTTAGAATGCCAAGATCAGGTGGTCACACAGGCTCCAGGTTTCTAGGGTACTTAGGTACATTTATGGAAAGAGAGGCAAAGCTATTATTTTTGTGGAATTAGAATTAGGGTGAGGACAAGATTCTTAATGTAGATATTAGGTAGCTCATACTCGAGCTTCCTCCCCGAACTTATGTGAGCACAGCTCCTCCTTCACCACATACCAATCTTAGGCTCTAAGTGTAAAGCTTAGCATCACAGCCTCCTGGAAACTCCAGGACAGAGCCCATTATCTGTAAAGAAGTGTGTTCCTGTTCAACCCACAATCTTGCAGTGTTGGAAGCCGTGTATGAATTATGGGTTTGTTTGAGCCATCATATGACAGGGGCTTGTGTTTTTGAGAACTCCTGTTGTGAATCCACGAGTTGCAGATTGCCAAGATTAAAGCTGACACCCTACCTTAGGTCACAGCCCTAGGTTCAAAGGCAGCCCCTGGAGGTAACCTTCCTAGCCCCAAACAACTTGTTTTTCCCATCTTCATCCTGTTTTCCTCAAGAAGCCTACCTCATTGAAACCTTTTAATGTATTTCCCCTTAAATAAAGAATTTGGGCCTTTTTCCTTTTTCAGTTCTGGTTCCCATCAGGGCTGGAAGACCCACCAGGCCCCAGCATTTAAAACTATTTTCTGCCTCTTGTTTTTCATTCCTTATCGATTATTTTCAGGCTTTTTATTTTCCCAGCCAGTTCACACCCCCAAGCAGGAATTAACTCTTGGGGTGCTGGTAACCCTGACACTGCAGCTTAGGACACGACAACAGGGTAGCCAGACACTTGTATGTAAGAGATGGAGTTCACCATAGTTGTAGAACAGTCAACAAAAGAGGACCTAGATAGTGAACATGAACATGCTGATTATTATGTAGTCATCCAAACAATATTTTTACAGGATATTCAATGACATACTCACTGTKCATTAAGTAAAAAAGCAGACACACTAGTGCCTTATTTCAAAGAGAAAAATAAATACTTGCAAAAGTTAAACCATAACAAAATAGTTCATCAAAGTAATCCCAGTGACTCAGGAAGCTAAGGCAGGAGAATTGAAAGTTCAAGGCCAGTCTCAACAACTTCATAAGGCCGTAAGCAACTTAGCAAGACTGTTTCAAAAATTAAGAAGGACTGAGGATGTAACTTAGTGACAAAGCACACTTGGGTTCCATCCTCAGTATAAAAAACAATTTTTACAATAATTAACTTTGGGTCTAGATTAAAGGCAATTTGTACAGTTTTGTGTATTTACCAGGTATCTGTACATACTACAGAGTAAGCCTGTATGACTTTAGATAGCTGATTATACCATGCCTTGGGTAATGTGTACAAGAGCTTTATGGGCCCAGAGAAAATGAGCTGGGCTCTTTTTGAGCCTCATCCCCTGCTTGGTAGAACCTCTAAGCTCCTCCCTGGAATTATTCCCTTCCACTCTGCCCTGTATATATAAAGCCATCTGCCTTGCCAGAGTACGGCAAGCCTTGAGATGGGACCACTATAGTGTGCATATTTCTGGAAGACTTTCGTTTCCCACAGTAGCTGTCTGGATGGAGTTGAATAATACTATGTATGTCAGCAGAAATTCTGACCAAGACTTCTGGGCTGGTAGTATTAACTGAGCTGAGTACACAAAAAGGGTTTCTTAATTCCATTAACCTTTGCTCCTTATTTTGCAGCTCACGTGTCTGAAACGGCCTCTGGTTGTCATCCATGAGCTGTTTGACAAATCCATCATGGATATTTCCTGGTAAGGTGGATTCTTAAGGTATATAAACTATGAAAAGATCTGAGATCTCCTGGATATGACTAAGGCCAGGCAACCAAAGCATCCTCCTAAGGCAGCACAGACTCCAAGGTTCTGCTCATACATGATTTAGGAAATAGTAGTAGTTCTATGCCTGATATTGTGGGAATATCCTGCCCAAGGTAGGATATGCCAAAGAAAAATGCCTTCTCAGAAAAACTGTTATCCACATAGTTTTATAGTAGACATACTTCCTTAAGATATTATATAAATGGTTTAAAAAATAAGAAATAAGTTGAAAATTTTTACAGAATTCATGGTAAGAGATGCATTTTACATGTGCCTAAAACTAAAGGGTACTAGGGACCCTCTGGAATGTGATTATTGCTTCACTTTCTCTATCCCATCTTCAAGCCTCAGAAGGGAACCGTGGGTTTCCAGCAACTACCTAGATTACTATTCAGCCATCCTCACAGGCTGGCTATTGTGGCATTTCTGTCTGCCTCAGGCACTTGTCCATAGGCTGTTGACAGCTATCTCTTTCAGGACTCTGAATGGGCTGGGCATCCTGGTGTGCTCCATGGATGGCTCTGTGGCATTCCTCGACTTCTCCCAGGATGAGCTTGGAGACCCCCTCAGTGAGGAGGAAAAGGTAGGTCTTTTACATGTTCCGTGACCACAGAAATAGCCACAATAACTCTGGGAGACCAATTTGATTGGACTTTCTTCTGAATTGGTATTTCTTTAAGTATTAGAGGGTCTTTGCCTTTTATAAATTGTAATTCTTCTTTGAAAAATAAATTAATAATTCTCTATTCATGTCAGAAACAAGTCCTGGAATTAAGAATAAAACTTTGAGACCATTTTTTTATGCCACTAACAAGCTACCAGTGGGAGATTTTCACCCTGGGAGAGAGCTGGAGTGACTCCTAAAGGGTCCCTGTATGTCACTTTTCCCATCTCATTGTCTTATACTGACTTAACAGCAATTATAATAGTAATATTGGACATTTCTTAATGTTTACTGAATGTCAGACTTTGGGTCATGTACTTTGCATGTATTATTTAAACTATTCAAAATCCTTGAAGGCAACCCTTATCTGTTACATCAATGAGAAAACTAAGCCTTAGAAAATAGCATGGCCCTTTGCGGTGACCACATGTGACCCTTAAGTACAAGAACTAAAGCATGAACTAGACTTGTTGCCTTTGGGCCAAGTTTCTTCTTTTGTGCTCTGCCTGAAACATGGCATCTGTGTGTCCTTCTGCCAGAGCTTTGAAAAAGACTCTGCTTTACCCACCAATAGACTTAGGAATCTTTGGTTTCTATCAGTAGACATTTGCCAACATTTACTCAGATGTAGGGCTTCTGGAAACCCAGAGTAGGTCAGCAGCTTTCTCTGTAGTGATCCTATTGCTGGGGGAAGCTCCCTCTTAACTGGCTGTGTGACACCTGCTAAGAGTAAACCCTTTGGGGCAGAGATATGGCTTGTGAACCGTACCTGGCAATCATTTTTCAATGAAGAAATGAGTGTCTCAGTGGCCAGGGATCCTCATTCCACCTTGTCTCTGTTATCAGGTACCCAGGGATCACTGCATACTTCCTTGGAGAATCACTATGAAAGCCTATGTAATAACTCTATCTGGCTAGGGTTATCATCACCAGTGACCTTGTGTTACTACACGAGGAAAATTTTGACCAAACTCTGAATTCTGGCTGAGATTCCAGGGGCTGTTTAGGAGCCAAGATGTCAAAGGAGGAAGCTTCTTGGCTATACCTAAGCCTGGCAGGATTAAGTTCCAAAGCCCCTCTCCTGGAAAGTTGTCTCCTCCTTCCCAGCATCCTCTGCTGTGAAGCATGCCTATTAACTGTTCTTGTCCTGTTCTTGGCAAGATAGGGCTGGTCATTTGCACATAACTTTGTGTTAATCTGTTCCTCATTACACTTTCATGAGTACCAGTTACTACAATATGCTGGGGACACTCTCTGTTCTCTTGGGGTTGCTATTTAGCTTGTTATGGCACAGAGCTAATGGGGCCTAGGAGGATGGGAAAGGATCCTGCTCAGAAGGATCCGGGCATCTTAAGGGAGAGACCAAGGGAGAGCAGAGAAGAAGGGAGAGACCATGGAAGAGCAGAGAAGGATCTCCCTAGGTCTGATGTGCCAATCTTCTTTGCTCTTAGAGACACTGTTTGTCCCGTAGAAACTATCCCACCATGTGGCTGCCATCTGATAAGAGCAGTGAAAGTAGACTCTTGCTTTCAGTATCTGGTACCCTGAGAATATTTAGGTGCTTTGAGTTACTTAAGAACCTTGAGTTAGCAATTTGGTTATCTGCACCAATTGAGGTGGTATTTATTGCTATTTGTTTTGCACCAGGAATTTTCTTGTCAGTATTCACCATCATCCCCAGCAATAGATACATAGTAGTCTGTAAACATCTAGTGACGATCTGAGACTTCCATCAGAGCTATCTAATGAGGGACAGGCAGAATTGGATGGGAGGTGATGGAGAGCTAGCCTCCCAGCCTTTTTGCTTTCAGAGCCAGGAAAACCTGTGCCTTAGTGCACTCATGATGGGCAGCATTGACCATAGTGATATACCAGTGTATAGAACCTTTCCCTGCTTTCCACAGAGCCGCATTCACCAGTCCACCTATGGCAAGAGCCTGGCCATCATGACTGAGGCCCAGCTCTCCACAGCTGTCATCGAGAACCCAGAGATGCTCAAGTACCAACGGAGGCAGCAACAGCAGCAGTTAGACCAGAAGAGTGCCGCAACCAGAGAGATGGGCTCAGCATCCTCAGTCGCGGGTGTTGTCAACGGGGAGAGTCTGGAAGATATTAGGAAGGTGAGGGCTTAACCCAGGATTATATACCCAGGGGACAAGGAAAAGGGAACAGGCAGGTACAGCTTGGACAGGGCACAAAGATGTGACCATAGTTATGAATGAGGTGAAGAAGGTACTGAGCCTGGTGCAGGATCCATAGTTAACCTGCATGGGGCCGGTTGGTCCTAGTACCTGAACCTGCATAAGACAATAATGGGGCTTAAAGCACCTTTTTCCAAAGTTGCCTTGTACCAGGAAGCCCTACAGTTCATCTCTTACCAAACCTTCACCTAGTCATATTTCTAGGAATTTGTACATACTGAGAACAGTGTGTTTTAGGCTCTGCCCTTAGGAAACTTGTGGTTTCCCCATTTTAATTTGGAAATACCCACATTTCACTGGTAGGAGCAGGGGATTAGAAATGGGATAAGAGCAGAGTAGGAAATGTTGAGCTTACCCTAGAATTTAAACCATCGCCAGGAGCTTTTGTGGGTTGAAAGACCTCCCCTAGGTAATTCAGACAGAGTGTATAAATAAAAATCTTTCACAAAAGAAGGGACTCTGTGGAAAAAGGCAGTTTGAAAATTACCAGCTTAATGATGAGAGTGTGCCCACAGGTTCAGTTTCAGTCCTTTAGTTTCCTCACGGAACCCCAAAGCTGTCAGATGTTGTCCAGCCTGGCATGTGCTTACAGTCCTGGGATTTGGTCATAGTACCACATGTGATGCTGATGATAGATAGGTGCTTGGAGCTGCTTTAACTGGATGCTTTTTGTCTGCTTCTCTACTGTGCCTGAAGTCAAGTATATACCTTGATAAAAAAAATGCTTATTCTTTGATTAACTAACTGGCTTAATTTTTTTTAATTTTGTACAAAAAAAACCCAAAACTGTAAAAAGGGAAGTTAGAATACATTTTCTTAGAAGCCTTATTATTTTCACCCACTGTAGCAAGGTGTAACTGACATACAAAAAGCTATATGTATTTAAACATTAAAATTAAATTGTTTACAACAATTTAATGTTTACAACTTTAAAAAGCCAGGCATGGAAAGACCAATACTATATACCACTGACATGTGGAATCTAGAATAGTCAAACTCACAGAAGCAGAGAGGAGAATGGTGGGTGCCAGGGCCTGTGGGAAGGGGAAACAGGGAGGTATTAGTCAAAGGGTACAAAGTCTAAGTTGTTTGGTCCTAGAGATCTACTGTATAGCATAATGCCTACAATTAACAGTACTGTGTTACGAAGAGGGTAGATCTTATGCTAAGTGTTCTTATCACAAAAAGAAAAAAAATAAGCAACTTTTTTTGATATTTGGAGATAATTGGCAGAGACTTTTCCATTCATTTATATAACTCTACTTTGCCAGAATCTTTTGAAGAAACAAGTTGAGACTCGGACAGCAGATGGTCGAAGAAGAATCACGCCTCTCTGCATAGCTCAGCTGGACACTGGGTACTCATTCATTCACCAAGCTTTATGTGACCTTATCTGGGGAGACCTTCCTCTCTCCTTTCACCAGTTAGCACTCTCATAGTTAGGGCCTTCACAGACTTTTGGGTCAACTTGACTCCTAGAATGTGGAAGCAAAAAAGTCAAGCCCAGCTTTCCACCAGCCTCAAAGTCCTTCAAAGTTCCTCACCAAGCTCTGTGCATACTTGACTCATGTGAAAGGGCAAAGGCTGAGATAGCCTATAGGCTAGGATGCTTTCTCAGGTCTACACATATTTACTGTACTTCAGTGTTGGTAAGGCACTGGAAGACATAGGAAAAGAAGTCAGACTGATTTTTTTTCTTTTTATAACCTTTTCTGATTATGAAAGGTGTGTGTGGGGGGGGTGTGAAATTTCTATATTTCATGAAAATTTTAGAAAAAGTAAAAGGCCAAAGAAAAAATATAAACTTTATTCATAATCAAGTCTCTTAAATATAATCCTGTTAACATTTTGATATCTGTATTTCCAGTCTTTTTCCCCACTTGTTACTGTATCTTGACTTTTCATCTACTTTAATAAATAGTCCTCTGAAGCATTTGCTTGCTGATTATCCAGATTGCTGTCCTATGAATGCAGTGATTTACTTAACTAGCTCCTTAACTGTGGACTTATAGTTTGTGTCCAATTTTTTGTGATGTAAATGACTCTTTGAGCATACTCTTTGAGACTGTTTTTACAGAATAATTTTTGAAAGCAGAACTGTTGGCAGAGAGTAGGTCTCTGGGACACATTCCCTATGGGGGCAAAAAGAAGGAATGTGGATTCGTTCACCTTTTACAGTTGTCTCAGTGTCTGAAATCAGAGTTGCCTTTATATTGGTCATTCTCCAGAAACAATATATGTTGATTTAAAGAATGATAAGGCCCTGTATGAAAGAAAATAACCTTATAATCACAGCATCTCACTCTAGGTTTTATACAGACACAGTAAGCAGTCTGCACTGAGCATCAAGAAGTCCTTCATGGAGACCACACGTAGTAGTCCTTGGCACTTTGCCATTGTCCATCCATTAGCTGTTTTAAATCTTCCTTGAAAACTGAAGATATGTGCTAACCCAGCCTCTCGAGTTAGGTGTGTGGACACTGAGTGTCCCAGAAGGCAGAGACCTGACCAGAACCAGGTCTTCTGACTCTTTCCAGAACAATGATTTGCCTTTAACTAAGCCTGTTTCCTATTGTGAACCTACAAGCAATAAGGCCAAGTGCCTAGCTTTTATAAGGTTCAAGTGAGACCAGTGTGTGAATGAATTTTGTATACTATTAAGCCTCTGGGAGTGAGGGAGGTGGTAATAATGATGGTACTATTGTTCTGTGGATCCTTCTAGGTTTAAATGGTAAGGAGGTAGGGAGCTTCCTATCTGGCCTTAAGCCAGCTTTTTGCTATTGGGTATATATTCCTGGTATCAAAACTTGATTTCTTTTGTTTTAAAGGCTTTCTCACTCTCCTGATTCCCATGTTCAAACAAATAGCAACCAAATAGGTAATTATTTGCTTAATTAAGAAAGAAAAAACACAAATATCCAAAGTAGTTGCAAATAGGAAATAATAACAGATAAGAATAAATCAAAAGGATAATAGATTTCTTTGCTGAACTCTGTGCAAATAAATTTGAAAGTAGATGAATTTTGAGGAAAATAATAAGATTACTAAAACTGCCAAATTGTTGTAGAAGAAATTGAGATGCTATCAAAAAGTTAACCTAAATCCACCAAAAGTCATCAAAGTAAGAAAGCTTCACCAAGAAAGCATAACAAAATCTTAAGGAACAGACAGATAACTGAAACTGGCATATAGTTCAGTGGTAGAACACTTACTTAGTTCTGGGTTTGACTTCCAGAATCACGATTTTTTTTTTTAAAGAACATAATATTTTCATCAAAATGTAACAAAGATAGCCAGGTACTATGGCACATGCCTATAGTTCTAGCTACTTAAGAGCCTGAAGCAGGAGGATCACTATAGAGTTGTAAGACCAGCCTAGGTAACATGAGACTCTGTTTCCAAAAAATTAAAACGAATAAAATAAAGGTAATACTAATATTAATACTAATAAAGGTAAAACATAATAAATTTTAATCTTATTTCATTTCTGAATGTCAGTGTAAAATCCTAAATGAAAAAGTAACATGACCAAATAAGGTTTTTTCTTTAGGGATGCAAGGAAGTTCAATTTGGGGAAACTGTTAATTTAAATCTATATGTTAATTGACACAAGAAATAAATGTTAAAATAAAGAAAGAAATGGTATGGTTACCTCTGTTAATGCTTTAGATGCATTTTGATAAAAATTCAGCATTGTTCTGACTTAAAACTCAATTAAATGGGAATAGATGAATCCTTCCTTAACTGAATAAGTTGTCTTATTTCAAATCAAGTTCAGAAGCTAAACATTTTACTCTTGTATAATTTAGCATTGTTCTAAAGGCCCCAGCCTACATAGTTAGGCAAGAATAAATTGGAGAGGAGAATATAAAATGTAGAATTATTTAAGGAGGATATGATCTATAAGAGAATCAATTGGCACAACTACCATAGAAAATAAGACAATAAGATAGCTGGATACAGTTAACATGAGGTCAGGTATCACCAAGTACCTTTACAAGATATAAAAAAAAACTTTTTTTTTTTAAATCTAGAATTTAATAAGAAAAGTAAATGTCAATCTCCTCTGACCTTATTGTGCAGGCTGACTTAAACTCCGGCTCAAACAATCCCCCTCAGCTTCTCTGTTAGCTGGGACTATAAGCACAGACTATTGCATTAGGCTAAGAAATGTAAATATTTATAAAGAAAACTCAAAAGAAATAAAACTGGAAATACATACCATTCATTAGCTTGTAAGACTCAGTGTCATAAAGATGGCAGTTCCTCCTTAACATATTAAATTCTAAAGTTATGTGTGAAAATAGAAAAATATTTTTTGGAAAATTTAAAAAGATTAATTGGGAGACTAATCACACCAGAAATTAAATTAATCCTCCTTTTTTTATTATTATTATTATTCCACAGAGGATTTAACCAGGGATGCTTTACCACTGAACTATATCCCCAAATCTCCAGTCTTTTGTTTTTAATATATATATTTAGTTATTGATGGATCATTATTTAATGAACTTATAAATATGTGGTTCTGAGACTCAAACCCAGTGCCTCACACATGCTAGGTAAGCACTCTACCACTAAACCACAACCCCAGCATCTCCAGTCTTTTTTATTTTGAGAGTTGCTGAGGGTCTTACTAAATTGGTGATACTGATCTTGACTTACAATCCTGCCTTGGCTTCCAGACCCTAGGATTATAGGCATAAACCACCATGCTGAGCTAGAAATTAAAACTCATGTAAACTATAACAATTTAAACAGTGAAGTACTGATACATGAATAGTCAGAGCAAGGGAATGTAATGTAATTCCCAAAGACCCAAATTTTTCCCCAAAAGGGATTTTCAAATGTACCATATCATACCAGGAATGAAACATTAGCTAACTCAATAAGTGAAAATCAGAATTACCTGTCACTCTAGAAAACTAACTGGATCCCAGTCATACAACTTATAATTAGAAACACTGACGAGCACAGAGGCTAATTTTTTTTGTTATTGATGTTTAAAATTTTAGAAGAGTCTTTGGGGAAAAATATTTTTATAATCTATAAAATTATTTATAATTTTAATAAGTAAAAAAGTTTTCTGCAAATAACACAAAATTTATGCCATATAAAAGTAATCTTTCTGACAAAGAAAAATAGCTGGGCAAAGTGCCACACACCTATGATCCCCAGCCACTCAGGAGATGGAAGCAAGAGGATTGCAAATTCAAGACTGGCCTAGGCAATTTAGCAAGACCCCTTCCAAAATGAAAAGGACTGGGAATGTAGCTCAGTGGTAGAACACGTGTGCAAATGATGGAGTTCAGGCCCCAGTATTGGGTGGGGAAAAAAGGATCATAAAGAATCAAAACACAACTTCCTGAGAAAATATTTCCTACTTGTATAAAGAATGGTGGGTTTAAAATATATATATATATATATATATATATATATAAAATATATAATTATTTCTTTAAAATCAGTGATAAGGACCAGTAGTCAAATAGAGCAATATATGAAACATGAAGAGAGTTCACAAAAAAGGAAATCAAATATGAAAAATATTTAATCTTGCATCAGAATAATTGCAAACCAACACTGTAGTAAGATATCATTTTTTATCCATCAGATTGACAACTCATGAAATTTCATAAAACTTCATTGAAGTGGGAAAATAAGAACTCTTAAAAATGGCTTGCAATAGAAAACTCTAAGGAGGGAACCTTAGAAATGTTTATTATAAATCATGAAAAAACTTTCCATTTGCTCCTCCAATTCCACTTGTAGGTATTTTTTCCATGTAATTTGTGAATCAACAGGTGTAATGGCAGTTACTTTAATTCTAGATGTCTTGAGCAACTACTCTGTGTTCTAGGTACCTCAACTTTTTTCAGTCTGGAAAACAATCCCATGAGAAGAGTCCTAGCACTTTCTGTTTTACAGACAGAAACCTGAGGCACCATAGATGTCATTAAAACACACAAGATCATAAGCTCACGAATGGCAGAGTCATCAGCCCTGGCTGATCTGGCCCAGGACCTTCAGTCTTTCAATGTACTGTCTTCCCTCCTGTGGAAATATTATCTGTCACAGAAAGAGTTGTTTCTTGGGAAAGGCTTGGTTAGGTAAATTATGTTACATCCAGTAGGAAGGCTTTCTCACTATGCTGCATTTCCTTCATTCTGACATACCTGATTACAAAGTGTAACTCCTAAGATGAGGATGCATCATACAGTCTTAAATGGCATCTGACAATTATAAAAGTAGCATTGTTGTCTCAGTGATACATATAGTACTAATGCATCTTAGATTCAGTTAAATATATTGTATTAGATACTTTTCATTTTCATTTGAATTTGCTGTAACTTTCCAAACTACCTACCATGAAAATACATTGCCTCTGGACCCAGGAAAATGTTATTTAGAAGGTATGAAATATTTGGTACAGCATCTGATTTTTTCGCTGACTTTTGTTCTTGCTTGGCAACAGGGACTTCTCCACGGCATTCTTTAACAGCATCCCACTATCGGGCTCACTGGCAGGCACCATGCTCTCCTCTCATAGCAGTCAGCAGCTACTGCCATTGGACTCCAGTACCCCCAACTCCTTCGGCGCCTCGAAGCCTTGCACAGAGCCTGTGGCAGCTGCCAGTGCCAGGCCTGCAGGCGAGTCTGTCAGTAAGGACAGGTTAGTGGGTGCCAAGATCACTGTCCCTGGGGAAAGTTTAGGTTTGGACATGGTTACAGGGATGAGAATTTCATTCTCTTCTCACTTTGTGGCCCTTCAATAAAACAAAAGAAAGAAATGCTTGATTTTAAATGAGGGGCTATTTGGAAGGGAGAATTGTTCAGGCAAGTGTCTGAAGCATAGGACTATAAGGATCATCACAAAGATGGTTTCATGGCCAACCAAGGTGCAGGATATGGAGGCTGGGTACCTGCCAGTGAGATGCTACCTGCCACAGGGTCAGCACTACCTTTTGGCAGATCTACACTGGTTGTAGCCTTGCATTTCTAGGGCTTTTACAGCACTTCTCTGTGCTGTAATCCTTGCTCATTATTCGTCCCAGGCATGCACTTTTGTGCAGACACACAAATCCCCTGACACTGTCAGAATCATATTTACTCAGAGAGCCTGTGTCCTCACTGACCATTCCAAACCAAGTTGGAAGTCAGAAAGGACCAGGTGAGCATAAATAAGAGCCAGAAGTGAGCATTTGCTCTACACTGCTCTGGGTTACACACTGCAGGTATCTGGTTTCCATAGGGGATTGATTGGTGGGTTCTTGTCCTCAGGGAATAAATATGTGTGGGCTGATGAGGAAAAAGCAACCACAGGGTTGAAGGGTAGCTCCTGGGGTCCCTATGCAGAAATGCCTAGCTATCAGGGGGATTGATGGGCAGATCTCAGGGAGGCTTTTCAGAAGTTTGCCCAGCCCAGGGCCCATATAAGCCATTGTGGAGTGTGGCAGTGACAAGAGCAGAACTCTGAGGCTCTGAGGAGGACCAGGAAAGAAAGGAGAGAGACTGGGTTCCTGTGCTGAACCAGATAATCTGGGTTTTGCTGAGTGGAGACACAGAAGGGTTTGCACTTGCATTTTAAGAAGATGGTTCCAATAGCATTGGTGCCCAAATTTAGTCCTTGGCTGATAACTGTGGAAATGATTCTCTGTGGGTTGGTGATATGGTCCTGTGTTACATAGCCTTCTGCTTTTACATTGGGACCAAGGAGATACAATAAGCATTAAAGGCATTCCTCTTAGGGAACTCTGAGGTAGATCAGAAGAGGAGACAATGCAACAAGAACAGTCGGGAAACAAAGCATCGAGGGAGGAAAGGTGTCTAGGAAGGACAAATAGCACCAGAGCTGAGAAACATTTCAGAGATTGATCTTACAGGAGGAAAGTGCTGTCCAGGGTGACTACCAGGCATCTGGTATGGGATCCAAGCAGATAGGGATGGAGGTGTTAGTCTGCATGGAATCATTTGGAGGCCCAGGGGCTTTGGAACCCAAGGGTATGGGATAGTCTTGGGCAGGGGGGAAGCTGGGGAACATCATGCCTGGGCCTCTCCTTTCTCCGTGGAATAGAAAGCAAGGGCTATGGGGTGAAAACTTGGAGGAGAGTCCTAAGAATATGTCATTGTCACAGTGAGAAATGAGAGGGCCATTCAGGATGGAAGGGGCTAGCTTGGCCAAGRATGAAGGCCAAAAACAGACCAAAGCTTCAGAAACCTGAGTGAGGACTTTTCTCATCTAATCCGTGTAGAAGTAGCAAAGGTTAGTGGTTAGGGTGGTTTAGGGGATACATGCTGTGTTCAGGTTGTAGAGATGGGGCTCTATGGTTAGCTACTCCAAAAAGCTCTCAGAACAAAACACAGGCAAATATGAAGGCATTTACTGATGATTTTCTCATGTAGACTTTTAGAATTCCAGCATAAAGTTTTTTAAAAATAAATCAGGATTTTTTTTTTTTTTCTTATAAAAGTTTGATATTTGTGCCCCTTTCCATAGGCTCCAAATAACTTAAGTCCTACACCTACAAATCCCTTTGGGATTGTGCTTGATGTACCTCCCATCTTCTTCACCCTTTAGTATGAATGCTACCTCTACTACTGCTGCATTGTCACCCTCCGTGTTAACAACCCCGTCCAAGATTGAACCCATGAAAGCATTTGACTCCCGATTCACAGAGCGGTCCAAAGCCACGCCAGGTGCTCCTTCCTTGACAAGTGTGACTTCGACGGCTGTTGAAAGGTAGGTGTTGGATGCATGGAACCTGAAGAGCCCAGAGAAGGGCCATTATGTTGCAGTTCTTCCAAGCAGCCTGCCTCCTGCAGGGGATCACAACTGCAGAAGCTGGTGTGAACCTCTAGCTCCCAGGAGAAAAGAAGAGCTGCTTAAAGTGGGGAGGGGCTAGAAGGAGCTTTGGGGGAATATACTGAGCAAAAGAACATCAAGGGGAAAGGCACAAGTGCTGCTCAGTGCAGTCTGTGTGATCAGTAATATTGTCCTTTGAGTGGAGCCCAGTTTGCCCAGAAGAAGAGAAAGAGATTGATTGGAGAGATGGAAGGTTCTGATGTTGTTGCACAGTGTAAATCATGACCTTCTGCTCAGAAACTGACTAGAAGTGGAAAGCTGAGATACAAGTGACATCTAGATGAGATTTTTATGAGGTTTGATGGGCTTCTGTGCTCATATAGACTGGGTGCTTCTAATTCATTTTCTATACTTCTCTAGTACACAGCAGCAAAGATAAGTGGGCTATAGTTCTTTATTTCCTGTGGTTGCAAGAGAGCACCTTCCCAGGGCAGCTAAAGCAAGTATGTGCAACCTCTGCCATTGGCACTGAGCTTCTCTGCCTCCTGGGAGGGCCTTCCCTCCAAGCCTGCCACAGAAGGGAGCATATTGTACATCCCAGAGGGTCCAGGGTTGGGGAGCCAGACATGGGCTGGACCACTTTCCTCCATAAGGGCCGGGCACAAGAGCTATACTCTCAAGGTTGCGTCCTGCTACAGGGCAACTAGGGCTCACTTGGCAGCCCTGGGCACACAAAACCCAGCCTGTGTCACCAACAGTCCAATACAGGAATTTTGGTCAGAGACTCTTAAAACAGCCACAAAGCAAATAGGTGCCAAATAAGAGGGGCACTTGCAGTCATCCATGTCTTGAAACTAAAACCACAGCGTGCTGTCCCCCTAGGACTTTGCTGAAGATCACAAAACCATTTGTCTGGGCTGGGGTTGTGGCTCAGCGGTCTAGCGCTCGCCTAGCACTTGTGAGGCGCTAGGTTTGATCCTCAGCACCACATAAAAATAAATAAATAAAATAAAGGTATTATGTCCAACTATGACTAAAAAAAATATTTTAAAAAACCATTTGTCTGTGCAGGATTTGTTTTCCCTGTGGGCCATCATGGGAAGATACTCCCTTCAAGTTTTGTGAACTTATTGTGGAATCTTCTATTCTACTCTGTAATGTAACTTGCTTGCTCTAGTATAAAAAATTTAATGTGATTATTTTACTTGTAATTTTTCTGGGAAGCAATTGGAAGAATCTGAAAGCCTTCCTGCTAGTACAACTTCATAAGTGTTGGATTGAATCTAGGTGCTAATTTTTTTTTTCTTTTTTAGTGGTGCTGAGGATTGAATCCAAGGGTACTCTACCATTGATCTACATTTCTAGACCTCTTTATTTTTTATTCTGAGACAGGGCCTTGCTAAGTTGCCCAGGCTGGCTTCAAACTTATGATCCTCCTGCTGCTTCAGTCTCTCAAGTAGCTAGTCTCACAGGCATGTACCACTGCATCTGGCTCCTAGGAGCCAAAATCTAAAAGTGAACAAAAAAACAGAGCAGTGGGCAGGACCACACTGCTCACTGTAAGTGTTGGGCTTAGGGGTTGCCAACCTCATGACTAAGGACCTTACTTTTTTAATTTTTGTACTGAGAATTGAACCCAGGGTTGCTATACTAGCTCTAATTTTTAGCTTTTATTTTGAGACAGGGTCTCACTAAGTGCCTTAGGGCCTTGCTTAGTTGCTGAAGCTGACCTCAAACTTGCGATCCTCCTGCTTCAACCTCTAAAGTCATTATTCGGTGTACACTATTGCACCCTGTTCCAGGGCCTTGAATTTTAATGGCCACCATCAGTCAATACAGAGTGTTGTACTTGAACCATGTAGGAGTTGGAATTAAGTCATCAGCATAAAGTGAAGCCATTTGAAAAAGGACATTTCTAGTAAGAAGTTGGCACTAAAGAAAACCCGACTGGCAGCCAGACATACGGCAGAGAAGTTGGAATGCCTCATCTTTCCTCAGGGTTAGAAAAATAGTCTTCTTTTGAGTCTGGTACCACAGGCCTATCCTTGTGGATTCTAGGCCGAGTTAACATTACCCATATTATCCAGAAATCACCAGCCATGAAATGAAATGCCAATAAAAATGAACACAGAACAAAACTTATCTAGTTAACATTCATAGGTACTTGAAGCAGATCCACCCAGCAGAAATATTTCTGTTCCAGGCAGCATTTCCACCAATAAAGGACCACAAAAATGAATTTAAGATTGAAAGTAACAAAAGATGAAGAATGCAGTATGCCCAAATATCAGGGACAGAATGAGTAAGAAGTTTAGACTTCATTTAACCTCTGATTATAGAATTTTCAGATGGAAACTATAGATACACTTAAAATCATGAAAGATAAGTCAAAATAGAACTAAGTGTGAGAATTAAAACTATAAAACTTTTAGAAGAAAGCATAGAAATCTGTGACCTTGGATTAAGCAACTGTTTCTCAAATATGATACTTAAAGCACAAACAACTAAGGGAAAATAAAAAAGGAAACTGGGATTTAATCAAATTTAAATTGAGCTTCAATAGGACATGATCAGAGTGAAAAGACAACCCATAGATTGAGGATAAAATATTTGAAAATAACATCTGTTTAAGTTTGAGGATCCAAAGTATAATAAAGAACTCTCAGAGTTCAACCATAAAAAGACTAATAATACATAAAAAGACTAATAATACAAATTTTTCCTAAGAAGATATAGAAATGGCCCGTCAGGTGGTGCATGCCTGTAATCCCAGCAACTCTGGTGTCTGAGGAAGGCAGATCCCAAGTTCAAGGCCAGCCTCGGCAATTTAGCAAGACCCTGACTTAAAATAAAAAGGGTTAGGGATGTGTCTCAGCAGTACAGCACTGATGGGTTACAGGAGTACTGCCAAAAGAGTCATAACCACGTCATGAGCCATCAGGGTGAAATGCAAATCAAAAGTACAATGATTAGTTGGGTGTGGTGGCACACACTTGTAATCTCAACTGCGTAGAAGCTGAGGCAAGAGGATCATAAGCTCAAGACCAGCCTAGACAACTAAATAAAATAAAGGACTGGGGGTGGGAGCACTTTCCTAATATGTGCAGGGCCCTGGGTTCAATCCCAGTATCTCTGCCCCGCCCCACCACCACACACACATACCCAACATAATAAGATATCACTTCACATCCATTAAGGTAGCTGAAATCATAAGATCACAGATTGTCAGATAATAAGTATTGGTGAGGGGCTGTGGCTGTGGCTCAATGGTAAAGCACTTGCCTCGCATATATGAGACACTGGATTCTATCCTCAGCACCACATATAAATAAATAAAGATATTATGTGTCTACAACTAAAAAAAAATTTAAAAATAAGTATTGGTGAGGATAGGGAAACCTTGAAACCCTCATATACTGCTGGAGGGAATATTGTTCAGCTGCTTTGGAAAACAGACTAGCAGTCCCTCAAATGGTTAAATAGTTAAAATTACACAATGCTTCTACACCTAGGTGTATACCCAAGGGAATTGAAAGCATATGCTAATGCATTAACTTGTACACAAAGATTCATATTGTTACTACTCATAATAATCAAAAAGTAGAAACACCTCAAATTTCCATTAACTCTTTGACAACATGTATGATATATCCATACAATAGAATATTATTCATGAATCCAAAAGAATGGAGTACTTGCCTGTGCTACAACAGGGATAGACCTTAGCCAATAATAAAAGAACCACTTATTGTATGATTCTGTTTATGTGAAGCATCCAAAATAAACAAATCTAGACAGAAAGTCGGTTAGTAGTTGCCAGGAGTTGGGAGGGGAGGAAAGGAAAGGGAGTGATTATTGATGGGTATAGTTTCTTTTTGGAATTATGAAAGATCCCTGAAATGAGATGATGGCAGTGGTTGCACAATCTTATAAATATTCTAAAAACTACTAAATTTGGTATTTTAAAATGAATTTTATTATATGTGAATTATGTCTCAATAAAGGATAAAAAGAATAACACCATCAAAAAGGCCAGACAGATTTGGAAATGAACCATAGTACTTCTTGGTTTGAAAAGAAAAATAATCATTGCAACTAAAAAGTCAGTGGATATTTCAAAAGAGCACATTACAGCCAACTGAACAAATCATTCACTCTGAAGAACTGGTCAGAGTGCTGCAGAGCCAAATTGTAGGGATGCAGGGGATGTGTACCTTATAGGAGTCCCCCAAAGGACATGCTGCCAGAGCTGTTGTCTAGAGGAGTTAACAAATTAATTGAATCCAGTTTTGGAAATATAGTGAATTCTGACCAGAATAAAATTATTTACCCAACTGAGAGAACAGCAGAGTTCTATAAATAGAAAGTTTTTGTGTTCTTTGAGAAARTTACCCTATGTTTGTCTTGTCTAGTTCCTTGGCCCCTGGCCCAGGTACTCCTAATTCCTAGCTCTTTCTCTTGGGTTGTATATATCCTGACCAAGAAGCAGAGGAGATACTCTTGAATTGGGCTGCTAGAGGCTTTTGTGTGTGTGTGTGKGGGGGGGTATTAGGGTTTGAATCCCAGTGTCATTTTACCACTGAACTGCATCTCCAGCCCTTTTATTTTATTCTTCTTATTTTATTTTTATTTTTAGATGGAGTCTTACTAAGTTGCCCAGGCTGGCCTGGAAATTGCTATCCTCCTACCTCAGCTTTTCAAGTAGCTGGGATTACAGGCATACATCCCCATGCCCAGGCTGGAGGCAATTTCTTGCCTGCAAATTCTAGGGTCCTGGTGTCATTAGGGTTAATCCCTCATCAGCTCTGTTCCCAAGATCTCAACACATTTTAGCTATACATACAGCTCTTACAAGACCTGTAGAATAAGGAATCATCAAGTTTGTCATTCTCTGATTCTCACTTGAAAGTGGCAGTGAGCAAGTATTCACTTGGGGC